CAAATATTCGTACAGTTGAAAAATTTAGCTTTTACAATGAGGAACGTGAAACTCTTTTATTTTATATTAGGACAAAATGTACTCATTTACGTACTTCTTGCATTTTCTGTGTGTATTTTATTTCTTTTTATTTTGTACAAGCGCTACGAAGAATGCTATAAAAGATTCAATCTTAAGACACAGCTCTAATAATATAACATCCCACTCTTGATTAACACATTGGACGAAAAGTCTGTTGCACGTGCACAGTACGAGAGGAACGTCGATTCTGTCGACAATGTGACACGTGCCACGAGAAATTGACTCGCGCTATTTGCAGAAAGCTCCAAACGTCTTATTCCTGATCCAGCATGCTACGGTTAATGTGATATGGGTGCCGGATTGACGGCAACCGTTGCAAACTTGATAATAAAGTTAAACCAAAGTTTATCCTGACATTTGCAGAGCGGCCGAACACCACTTTACATTGCGGCAAGAGGCAGTTTCACAGCCATCGTCGACATGATCATTAAGACCGCTAGATTAGATTATCCGACCCCGGTAGGTACATATCCACCGTAGTTACAAGAATTTCGCTTAACGTTAATCGTCTTCCCTTTCATCTCATGTCTGATAGACACAAACCACAAACAAGATGATAACAAAATGCAGAATATGTAATATTAACTGCAGTATCTCGTATATTTCAATCGCAAAAATTGATATTTGTTTTCAATTTAAATTTATTCAGATTGTTTATAATGTTTATATTGTATTAATTGTTCTATGAAAATTTTATATTGCTTCAAATATTGTTCCAACAAAATTTGTGCGAGTCTAAATTTTAAAACAAAAAAACAAATACGTATCTCTAGTCACTATTCATACAGTACAGGTCAACAATATTACAGCAATATTATTAATAGTTAGCAAGTTATATATTGCGATAACATTATAATATTGTAACAATAACATTGTAATATTGTAGCAATGTTGTTACAAGCTTTTGTGCTGGATAAATACATTCTACTTGTTTTACATATATTAAATTAAAATCAGCTAAGAAAATTGGACGAGAACAAAAAATTAGATTTAAGGAGAATTCAAATTCTAACAAGGAGGTTCGAGAGTTGACTCCAGCACGGAGGTGGTGGAGGGAAGGATCGCGTGGTGGCAGCATCTCCAGCAATAATGGTCGCCTCTCGGAGCAAATCCGATCCATTCTTTGGAAGTTGGCCTATAAACAACTTGCCCCTGAAGATTGGAAAAAATTAGCTGTTCACTGGACCTTCACCCCTGAACAGATTAGAGCTATCGAACATCAGTATACGGGTAAATCGATATTATGTATCATAATATTATTTCTGTCATCGTAATTTATTTACGTTTCTCAGAGAAACATCAAAATTATTTGTCTCGCACGGAATGCAAGAGATCCAGATTCGACTCCTGGTCGAATATTTTTCGCAATAAGTTTATTACAGTTTTTTAAAATTAATTTGAGAAATTTGGGAGGATTATTAATATTTCAGATTGCGTTGAAAGTCCGACAATCGGCACGCAATTATCAATATTCTGAAATTAATTCATTTATATGAATATAATAGTACAACATCTTAATATTCAGATCGTAATGGCGCTTTGTATTTAAAGTAATGTATTCAAAATTATTTGTTTAGTTTCATATATATCGATGCATATCAGAAAGAAAAGGATTAATTGATTCATTTTTTATGCATTACGCGTTATGCACATTCCGTGCTCCCGTTCTTTATAAATATGCATTCAACATAAAATAAAAATGACAACATAAGATAAAAATCGTAAAAGTTAGCTAGTTAGTTAATAAGATAAAAATTAAATAAAAAAATAAAAAAATTAACAGCTTTTAATTTAATTACTCTTAAACTTTAATTTATTAATTTTTTCCTTTTTCAGTTAAAATTCTTCTTATCTATAAACATCTTTATGGAAAAGATTATTTATATAGGTAAAATACTAAACATCAGTTTTTTATTAAGAAATATCTTTAATATCTCGTATGATTTACAAAAAAAATAAAATATTAAATTAATCTGATGATTTACTATACTGTAATTATTTAAAGTAATGTGATTTGAAGAAAAATTATGATATTTTGATAAAAATAATGTTTTTCAAAATTAATTTTATTTGATTTAATTCGATCTTAACGAGTTTTTGTCCAACTTTTAACTTATATATATTAATTTTATAACTCATTAACTTTAACTTAATTTATTAAAAAAAAAACATTTACTTACTCAATCCTGCGTAAAATTAATTACGGATTATACGTGCGAATTTGTACCTCAATGTTCCTATAGTGCGTCTAGAGCAGCCTTATGAAAAGGACGATAAAGCTCCAATTATAGGTCCCGCGAGTTTCAAGGAGCACGGATTTCGAATGTTAATGATCTGGGCCTCCGGATTAAATCCAGACGTGTCACTGATAAAAGAGCTCTGTGAAGCTTTATCAGCGGTGGACAAGAAAGCAATTGCTGGTATATATATATATATATGTATATATATACATATATAAATCCGGTATACATTCTATTCCGGTATATTTATACGTACAACATATATATAAATCTTCTTTTTCTTTCTTATTACTATTGTTATCCAATTGTTATCTCAATAAACTCCTTACTACACGCAGTAAAAATATCCTTTATTCGCAAGGATAGCAATGGATTACAGCGCGGCTGACGTTTATAGAGATAACAATAACAATCGTAATATATAAGATTGAATTTCATATAGAATAGAACTTTCTGCAACGAGATTCTATTTGCTTTCACTCATTTGCAGATTCCATTCATAAACAAATGGAGCAGGGAGATGATGGTGAGGTAAAATCGAAAGGGCAACGATGTCATAAATGCTCCATTGCGTGAATATTTACAAGTGCCAAATTCACATGCAAATTCTACACATATGAAAATCTGAACGAAAATTGTAATTTACGTAAGACGTAATAGTTATTGTCAAAAGCTTACCTGCATTTTAATGAGAAGAGTTCAACGAACTTGGCAAATGCCATTAACGAGGGAAAAAAAATAAAAAATACATATAATGTTGTATAAATACCTTTTATACTAACAATTCGCAATGTTACGCAAATTCTTAGGACAGAAATTACGAGTACAATTTACAGCGCAGGTATAGCTGTCACTATTATTTTGAAAGAACAAGAATTTCTTGATAAAATCAGGTATGTAATTCTACAGTGTATATTGATATACACTAATTTTTTAGTCAAAATTTTGATGTTTAAATCTACTTAACATGAATAAGACTTATCTTAAATAAAACTATAAAATAAATTATTGATGTTATTATACATATAAAAAATCATGCAATTTGAAAATCCGAAGAAAATGAAATTCATAATAAATTATTACTTCTTAATAAATTTTCCTTAATAAAATTGAACCAGATGGATTGCATAATTATATCTTATTATATTGTAGAAAAATTGATTGAAGATTGTAAATACAGTAGCTTCATTCATCGTAGAATAAAAATTCTACGAACCCACTATATATCATCGCTGGGTTAAATAATATCATTTACCAAAAGACGATAGTGTAAGAGGAATATCATTTATACAACGCGACGATAGTGAAGAAGGTATTTGAATTATATACAAATAATATGCAAAAAATAGGATAGGGTACGTAGTTCAACAATGACCCATGTAAATTTCAGAGGCTTATACCATATCTCTTTCAATTATTGAATTAAAGATATGAGTTTTGGCATACAGTTTATGAATTTAATTGGCTACTGTAAACAATAACTTTTAAATTATTGTTTACAATAACTTTAATAACTTTAAGTTATTTTTTTATGTTAATCACAATTTCGATTATTTAAAAAATCGGAAGAAGTGGTGATTCATTGTGTACAAGGAGTATATACACAATGAATCATGCTATTTTTTATAAATAACTACATGTTTTTTACCGCGAATTGTTGAGATTATTATAATTTTGCTATACTTAATAAATATTTATTTATAAAATAGATAATTATAAGATGGTGAGAATTCACAAGACCGATTACTGCGTTTTTCTTCCGTTTTGAGTGAAAAAGCGTCAAATAAGTATATTTTTATTGAAATTTTAAATGGGGCCGTATTCTAAATAATTATTATAATGAAGTATTATTTTGAGGTTATCATAAAAAAGATTATGTGCGGTCTACAATATACTATGGTTCATTGTTCACTACTCAAAATGATTCATTGTAAACCTCCTAACCTTTTCCATGATAATCTCCTAAATAATGTGGTGTAAAATAATATAACAGAAAAAATTGCTTACAGAATAATAAAGCCAAATGTGCACATAAAACTATTGCACAATAAAAAAAAATGATAGGCATAACAACAAAAATATAAAAAATGCATAAAGCTACAAAAAACTTACTTTGCAACTTGAAATTCTTAAAATGTGACATTACATAGCCGTCCTTAGCGCGATCTGCCAGTCGACTGGGAAGCCGAGAAGGGGTTCAAATGCGAGTCGCTACACGATAGCAGCATACTTTGATAACGTCACATTTACGAAATATCGCAATGGGAAATTCATAGGTATACTACTAGTTCACTGTTGGACTACCTACCCTATTTAAAACGGAGTATTTGAACAATTATATGAAACCAAGCCGTCCTAAGCTAATCTTAAAGCAGACTATCATTTATTTTATTTTGATGATTCTTTTATAGAGAAACGCTTCCGTTATTCGTAGAAACAAAAGTACAATTAGTACTCAGAAGTCATCGAAAAAAGCGATACAATTGTAAAATCAAACAATCGAACGTAAACTCTTCGGAATAATATTAATAACGCATAGATTAAGTGTGAGAGTAAATTTTGCAGGGCTTTCGATGTGATAACAGTTTATTAGATTAGATCTCGAATAAAGAATATAATATAAAATCGATAAATAGATATGCGATTATCGCACGATTCTCGAGAGAGACAATCTACATATCTGAAATTTACAAATTTAGACTCTTAACTACGAACGATTATATGTAACTTTATCTTGTATTACGCAAAAATTATATAAACTAAAAATTATGAAATTTTTGATGATTTCATTTACATGAAATCAAATGCATAATAATAATAATGTGTAAGCAAGAGGAAGCAAATTATCTCCTCTCCATCACATTTAGCTTATATAATTTTATAATATTGATTAAAAAATATCAAGAATATTTAAATATGAAAATACTCTTCCTGTATTTTATCTGTCGAACTTTCAATTTTTTTTATAAAATTAAAATAATTATTAACAAAGCGATAATACGAAAGATAATATAGATAAGTACGTACTTACCGCATGGATTAAAAAAAAATCATCGGACTTCCGAAGCTGCTTTCTGAAAGTACGTTTTACAACAATGTACATATCTTATCTTGATGTAATAAATCGTTGTATTCTATATATCGTCATATTATTGTTGCAAATATTATATAAATTATAAATGTGTGGAAAAATGTAAGACTTATATAACATTAGAACTTGTAATAAGTTGCACTGACAAATAAGTTCAATTTTTCAGGAAAAAAGCATCAGTATTTTTCGCGCGTTTCGAAATTACAAACAGAAAACTAAGGAAAATAGGACAAAGTAGGATGACGATTAAGATAATGTGATAATTCATAAGTAACTGACAACTCCAAGTTTTTCTATTAAAATGTGAACGTTTATTAATTCATTCGGAATATTAATTACTCTATAAAAGAATGTCGCTAGCTTCTTAGTGTTCACAGTATGTAACAAAATACTATAAACAATAATATAGTATTAGAGTGGTGAATAGTAGAAATGGAGATAGTGCTATCAACAGCAGTCGTACCGCGACGGATTATTCCATAACTCTTTAATCAATATTATAGACACAATCATAGCCTAATGTGTGTCTTTCTTCGTTGTTGCGAATCTCCGAGGTCTCTTTCGAAATTTATTTCGCAAAGGTACGTATGCCGGAACACAGACTCATCATAAAATATAAATCAATACGCATCTTATAACGCATTCGGACTCGTATATTTGTGACCTTCTATTTGACAATAGAATGTATCTTATGTTTGTACATGTATAAATGTATTTCCGTCTATTTAAAACACTACTCTTAGAGTACCCCATCGCACTCTTAGAGTACACTATCGCAAATTTTAGTAAATATGTTTGGCTTTTTGACCTTATGCTATTTTTTGCTGCAGAACAACCCGTGCTAGCTCCATTCGTTATGACGTTTTGAAAAGATCTTGAAATAAAGATGAAAGAACTATAAAACAAATGCAGATCCAAACATGCTTTGAAGATATCAAATTAAAATGCATAGATTAGATTTTTTGAATTTCTATATTCAATACACTCTAACGCCTTCTGAAAGCAATCAATTTCAAAAAAATAAATAATTTAGTAATATATTGCCCAAATAAATACGTTTTCGTTAATAACGTCGCAGACGACAGTGTTAATTTTCTTATAAATACAAATTTGAGAATCGGAAAAAAAAATTATTTTCAAATGCTGAAATTTTTAAAGTGAGTAAACTACATACGAAAAAAAGGAAAAAGATATCGAGATCAAGTCAAATGATCGAGTCATGTCTGTGTGCTTGCACTGAATTAAACTTTACTTACGTTTTTTTATTTTTCTGTTACCTCCATAACCCTTACATCCAATCAGTAAATTGAACATGACGAATAGATTTATTATCTAGCAAATAAATTTCCTTAACGATAGAAATCGAAAAAAGAAAGTATCAAGTTGTATATTCTAACGCTGTCGTCGCGCGCGCGATAAGTATAAAACTGTGGAAAGAATCAAGAAAACACACAAAAGAGAGAAGAAGCGACAATTTGATCGTCCGCAAATGAAAATGAAAAAACTTAGAAAAGACGATAGGATAAACACTATTGCTGAGAATAACCTAATTGGAGACCTCGAGTCGATTTGTCAAGTACAGTACATAAATAGAAAAAAGATGTTATCCTTTTGAAGTCTTTTAACATAATAAGGTCTTTTAATATGATGGCTTGTTACCCGTGATTGATCATTTCTTCATCTGTTTTACGATTAATTTCGATTAAAGACAAACACGTGTTATTTTATTATTTCTTACACTAATCGATACTTATTCGCAGTACAGTTCCAACTCAACGTGCATCTCAATCCGTGATCGTGCATCGACGTTAATATTCGCAAGATATTTGCCTTTTTCGCCTGCATCTTGGACCAAATGATGAAGTCGCTCATGTCTGTTTAATCTGAACACGCAGAACATGCAAACGTATATGAGTTTCAAAATAATAGAAAAAAAATACAAAGCTGCATAAGTCAATCACTATAAGAGTTTCGTTTAAACCTGCCAAAAATTTATTAATGACAGATCATTGATGAGTTATTCATCAACAAATTCATCGCACATATTTAGATTTAAATGTTACTCTCTACAGGGAAAAATTGAACTTTTTGTAGAAAAGTTATCGTCAATTATCTGTGTATATAATACATATTATTATATATCATTACATTTAATATATATAATATCTTTTAGTTATCCAAGATATAAAATTAGAAATTTTTAGAAATTAATCAATAGTAATTATGATGAATTACGAATCTCAATTGTAAAAGCCGTAGCAGTCTCTTAACTTTATTCAAAAACTCGAACGATGCAAGTGCACGAAATTCAGGACGAAAAGTCAAGTGGTCTAAAATCGATTTCAACTTTGAATCGGAGTTTGCTGTACATACATAAAAGTATCTCCGAAGTAGGACCTCGCGAGTGGCACCAATCAATGAAGTGTCGTATTAAATTTTAAATCTACTCGACACTCGCTTGATTCTCTGTAACGTTCTAGCTTTTCGTCGCGAGTTTTCCGCAATTTTTCTCTTTCCCTGTTGTGTACACCTATAAAAGTCGAGCAAATTTGCGAGCAACAATATTGCCTCTTCTTCGATTGTTTGCACATTTCTTGCACATCCCACGAAGTAATCATATTTCTTTTTCTTCAT